GCAGTCAAAATTATCTGAACATCTTTAAGTCAAGGGTAAAATGTGATCTGTCCTATTGTTATAGTGGAACACACCTATTCTACAGTTAATAGACTCTCCCACCTATAATAAGTAGGAGTAGTAGGAGTCGCGGAGTAGCTGAGTGAGTTGGTCAGTCAGTTGATGCCGGACGACCGTTAGTCGGATACTAAAGTATCAGCGACCACCACTAGATTTCTCTGTGTCATTACCTATTATATCAAGTTCCTAACGTTTTGTACGTCGAACCTATTTTAGGACCGACTTAGTACAACTACGAGCCTCCATTGTATAACCACTCCATAACACCTATATATTCGAAAGATTTTTCCCCAATTACAATGTTCGTAAATTTTTCGAATCTAGGCTCAACCATTACCTGTCCTAGATAACCTAAAGGATGCTCCCCCAATCACAATGATCTTAATCTATTCAAGTCTAGGATCAACTGTTATTCAATCGGCATATTCAAAAGGATGACTCCGAAGTCAAAACGAACCTAAACTCTTCAAGTCTACTGTCAAAGGATATATATATACTACATATCCTAAAGGGTTCATCCCAAATCACAACGATCTTAAAATCTTCAATTCTAGGGTCAATAGTTATTTACATTACATATTGAACGGATGCCTCACAAGCAAAATAAACATAACCTTTTCAATTCTTAGGTGAAACGTTACCTAACATACATACCCAAAAGGATGATTTCCCAGTCACAATGATCTTAACGTCTTCAATTGTAGGGAGAAACGTGATCTCCTCTACATAGCCGAAAAGATGCATTACCAATCACAATGCTCTTAACCTCTTCCATTCTGGGATGAACTGTTATCTCTCTTACATATTCGAAAGGATGCATCTGTAATCACAATACTTTTAATATCTTCAATTATAGAGTGAACGGTGATCTATCCTACAAATCTGAAAGGATTCTTCCCCAATCACAATTATCTTAACTTTTTCAAGTGTAGGGTCAACAGCTATCAACCCCACCTGATCAAAATCACCCTTTCCTAACCACGATGATTGTAACCTCTTCAATTCTAGGGTCAACCGTTATCTATCCTACATATCCGAAAAAATACTTTCTCAAATACAATGGTCGTAACTTCTTCGATTCTAGAGTGAACCTTGATTTATTCTACGTATCCAAAAGGATGATTCCGCAGTCAAAATTATCTGAACATCTTTAAGTCAAGATGTTTCCTCAAACACAACGATCATGAATTTTTCGAGTCTAAACTCAACCGTTATCTAACCTACACATTCAAAGAGATGCTTCCTCAATCTCAATAATCGTCACCTCTTCAATTCTAGGGCTAACCGTTATCTAGCTTACATATCCAAACGGATGCTTCTGCAGTTACAATGATTATAGCCACTGCAAGGCTATGGTCAGCAGCTATCTATAATACATATCCGAAGGGATGCTTCTCCAATTATAATAATCTTAACCTCTTCAATTCTAGGGTCAACCGTTATATATCGTACATATCCGAAAGGATGCTTCCTCTGTCACAGTGGTCTTACCACTTCAAATCAAGGCCCAACCGTTATGTTTACTACATAACCGAAGCAAAGCTTCCACAGTCACAATGATCATTACCTGTTCAAGTTTAGAATCAACCCTTATGTATCCTACATATACGAAAGGATGTTTTCTGTCAAAATGATCTTAACCTATTCAAATCTAAGATCAACCGCAGTCACAATGATCTGATCTACTTCAAATCTAGGATCAACCATTATCTATCCTACATATTTGAAGGGATACTTCCCCAATCATAATGATCTAAACATCTTAAATTCTAGAGTGAACCGTCATCTATCCTACATATCCGAAAGGAGGCATCCCCTGTTTCACTGATCTTAAGTATTTGAATTCTTGCGTCAATTGTTATCTCTGCTACATATCCGAAGTGAAGATTCCCCAATGATAATGGACTCAACATTTTCAAGTCTAGCATTAACTTTGATATTTCCTACGTGTACAAAACGATGTTACACCAATGACAATGATCTTAACCTCTTCAACTCTAGGATAAAACTTTATGTATCTTACATATCCGAAATGATGCTTCCACAATGTCAATGATCTTAATCTCTTCATATCAAGGGTCAACAGTTATCTATCCTCCATATTCTTATACTATCCATCTCTTCCTCCTCCGTTGAAACCATCAAAACGATCACTTACAGTCAGCCTCTACCTTGAGTGGCTCATCCCCAAAACATGTTTTTAAATAATATATCATATATTCACAACTGAGGAGGAAATAAAGTACAGGATAAAAAGTTAAAATGCAGTTTTTGGTAGACGGGAAATTGAATAGGAAAAGCACCAGACATTATAAGCATCATCTAAAGAAGATTTTTTTTTCTGTAGTTCAGACAAAGCAGCACCGAATTCTTTGTGGCCGCGAGTGGAACTGAAAGATGACAGCCGGGGCAAATGGAATAGAATTGTAGGCAATCATTGTGCAATCGATGTATCGATCTCTTATTGGTGCTCTCACGGACATGAAAGTCTACAGAAATAAAGGAGAAGGAATTTGGAACAGGTATTAAGAAAAGTGCAATTATTGGGGAACCGCGATTAGCACAAAATAAACCAAAATTAAGTTATTTTTCTGGAAAATATAATTATGTTTTTTTAGGGCAATAATGTGTTTTTACGTTAGGAATTGGGAAATTTTTGCTCTGGACAGGCAGCCTTTGAATGTAAAAGAATGCATATTCCCCTGTAGACCAAATGCATTTGCCGAATAGCAATTAATGTAGGCAAATAATATAACGTTCAATTCTTTGCGTTTATGAGGGGGAAGATGCTTTTTCGGTTAAAGAGAGAAAATAAGCTAAATGTGTTTGTTATCTTAGAGAAAATCTGACTAATAGCTGTTATTTTGTGCAAAGAAACAATGATAAAAAGCCTTTTAAATCCTTTGTATCGAGAAGCATTTACCCACAGACAAACGAACACTGCCATATCAAGTCGATGTTATACATTAGTTTTAAAGACTTCCCGAATTTTTTATGTAGTCTTTTTGAGGATACACTTTCATTACAGCCAGTAAAATAACCTTGTATCTTTGCGCCTGTTTTTTTTCCTTTGCATATTGCTTAATATCAGAATAGGTAAATATTGTTTCAATTTCATCTATTTCAAATGAATTTAGATTGGAACGTATAAGACAATGTACACTATATGAATAAAAAATGATTCATCAGCAATGAGAACGGCAGGAGAAAATTGTTTTATTTATGAAAATCTTAATTTTACTGTCCAACGAATTTTTAGCCATTTTGGTTCAGAAAATTCTTTCGAAGATTCCCCTCAATCTGGGTGACAAATTTCTTGCAATACCGAGTTCCTGTACACCCTAGATTGGATTTATTTATTTTTTATGACTTGTGTTATTTAAATCCAGGAAATATTTTTGCGATAATAATTATTTACTGATAAAAGTTTAATTTATTATATGTAGCTGAGGGCAAAGAGGTGGATTCATACCTTTCCCAAGGGTATTTGCGCGTAAAGGAATACAACAAACCCGACTGGAATTAGAACACGGGTTTCTGATTTCCAGTTATGACCCCTTATCCATTAACCATACGCACAGTCAATTTTAACACACCTTGTCTTCTTATTTCCGTAATGACCAGGCTCGACGTTGCTTAACTTCAGTGTCCGTACGCGAACCGGTGTTTCAACATAAGCTAATAGATGATGAAAATCCGAAGTAAACTGTACAAGAGTTAGAAGAATCCCTCAATACAAGTCACACTTCGATCATAAAAGAACTTCATCGACTTGGAAAAGTGTCTAAACGTGGTCACTGGGCCTCACAGTATCTGATTGGTTCTTATTTTAATGAATCTGCTGCCATTTGCTCGTTATTAAATAGTAGATGTACTACCGAACCTTTCTTGGTTAGAATTAGCGGCAGTGACTAAAAAATGGGTCTTATATAACAATATCCAACGAAAATTACAATGTTTATAACTCACTTAAAAAAAAAGAGTCCATGTCTAAACCGTGACTACAGACAAAAACTGTTTTTTGTATTTAGTGAGACACGGAGGATGTGAGCTAAACTAAACAAAACGGTGGATGTGGAAGGATATTGGTATCAACTGGAAGCAGTGGATAAGAATTTGTAGAAAAAAAAAGCGCACATCATTGGTTAATTGTAAATGTCCGTTGTTTTTGTACGATAATACAAAACCACATATTGCCCGATTCACACATGAAAAGATTATAACACTTCAGTTTGAATTTTTCTCATCCTCCTTACGCTTTTGATTTTGCTCCATCCGACTATCATCTTTTCATATGATTGCATTTAGTGTGCTAATTTTGACGAGGGTGAATCTAGTAGTGTGTATTTCTTTACAACAAAACTTGAGCAGTTGTTCGGATTATGGTATCGAGTGTGGACAGAAATAGTATCTTGATTAAATATATTAAGTCCAAAGAATCCGTTTTCAAATGATGCAATACATTTCTACCTAATACTTTACATTTTGTTTAATAATGTTCAATCAATGTGTAATATGAGAGTAAGTGTAAGAACTAGTAAATAAAGATTATGAAGATTTGTAAAATATATAACGATTGATACTATACAATGAGGCTGAGATTACAGTGTCCGAGGAGTATCTACGCTGGATTTCGTTCTGTAAAGTTGCACTCCGTGCAAAGAAGCGGTCTGAATAGAAATTCTTCCTTACTAATGGAATACGGAGGGAATAAGAGTGATTCAAGTCTATTGATCCAGCAAGGATTGGTGTTAAGCTGTAAAGGTTTGAATAGTTTGCTTAAGGAGGGAGTTCGTCAGGAAGTAACAGACTTGTGATAGGCTAGCGACATTGCATCTGTGTGAGGAAAGAGGCTTAAGTAATTAATTCATTATAAAGACATGGACTTTGTTAATGGGCTGGAAAGCGGCAGTAATCATCCAATTCCGGTATGGAAAGACTTGCGGTCATATCACGATGAAACACCGGTTCCCGTACGATGACCGAAGTTAAGCAACGTCGAGTCTGGTCAGTGCCTGGATGTGTGACAGCTTGGGAATAACAGGTGGTGTATACTTGGATGTGTAGATGTTGCAATTTATAATGTCTCCAAATTGTTAATCGGAGAGCCGAGTTCTAATTCCGGTCGGACTTGTTATATTCACTTACGCGCAAATGCCCTGGAAAAGAATCAATTAACCTTTTCTCCCCCCCAGTCATGGGTTAATTAGTAAGACTTGTATCATTAAAATCATTATTATCGCCCCCCCTCCAATAAATTAAAATAAAACAAAAACAACCAGCGAGTGGTATAACGAAGTGATCATTTTTACAGTATCTTTCGTGATGGTTCGTATATATGAGATTTACTTGATCTCCATGATTTGGGTGCATTAAAAGCTAGAGCTGTTAGAGCTCGAGCAGAGTAAAGATTAGCTGTAAAGCTCTGATCATCTAGATTTTTTGAAGGTGCTTCCATAATCTCTGGTATTGGTTGCATAGAAATTCCCTAGCAAACTGATACGCTTTCTAGGCAGATCGATATTAAAATGCAGAACTTATGAAAAAAAAAAAAAAAAAGAATAAAACTACGAGAATATTGATAGTTACTAAGGGGCCGTCGAGCTTACGGCCATGTGACGTTCAAACATCAGTACGGAGATGGGTGACCGGTTGGGTATAACAGGTGCTGTAGGCTTGGATGTGAGGGTGGTGCAATTAATAATGACTCGTGATGAGAAATCAGAAAGTAGAGGTTCGGATTGTAGCCAGGTTCTTTGCATTCACTAGCGCCAATACTTTTGGCCGATCATGAATCGAAAAATGATATAATCACCCAGGCGTTTCGGTACTCGGAGATTTGGCCGACGGACATTTGGCCAACGGACATTTGACCGAATGGACATTTAGCCGGAAATGTTGTGGCGTACTTACATATATGTTTGGGGACCTCGAGGTGTTGTAATGGTTAGCAAGCTTGCCTTGCTAGCACAATTATGACAGAGTAGTGAGTTCGATCCTCACTGGGTACCCCATTCTTTCGGCCTTGTGCCACATCTGAGCTACGCTTGGAAAATTACGAGGGCACCTCGTTGCGATGTAATGGTTAGCAAGCTTGTCTTGCTAGAACAGTTGCGACTGAATAGCGAGTTCGATCCTCACTGGGTGCACCATACTTTCGGCCTCGTGCCACATCTGAGCTACGCTTGGAAAATCACTACTTACATATTTACGTCACACTCTTTATCGTAATGTTCTACATATATTTATTTTTATTTACAGTATTAATTTATAATTTTTCGTTTTTTAAATACTTTTTCAAAAATCTATACTGTATATATTTTACTTAAAATATTAATGCAAGGTGGTAAGTATTTTGAGAAAAAGCACATTTTACTACAACAAAAATCTACGATATGAAATATCTTTCAATTTCGCTTTTAATGATCATTATCTTAAAGGGATGAACTTGTTTTATCTTACTGTTAAATACAAATTTAAATAATTAGGTGCTACATTTTACCCAAATACACTCAAAGATTTTTAAAAATACTAATTTCAATACACAAAGAAAACTTTTAACGATAAATTTAGATTTAGTAATTTAACTACTTGAAATTCAGTGGTATTTTTTAATTCTTTTATACCTTATAATACTGCTAATTAAAATACTTAACGTATTGCTTGGCACTATTTTTACTTGTACTTTTTCGGCCAAATGTCTGTTCAGCCAAATGTTCATCGGTCAAATCTCCGTTGGCCAAATGTCCGGCCACGGGCGTTTCACATCTGCGCATACCAAACGCGCATTGGGTCAGCGCAGTAGGGTAATGGCCCATTTCTTCCCCTCAATGTAGAGAAGGCCTACGTCCAAAAGAGGATCTTCACGGGCTGATAATAATAATAATAATAATAATAATAATAATAATAATAATAATAATAATAAGCACAGTACCAATGCTTGCTAACTAGAAATTACCAATACACATACTAAAAATCTGTGTTGAATCTAAATGTAAATATCCAGAAACAATGAGCATTTTGTATCAAATTGCACAGTTTTAACACTCACTGAAACTCGGCATGATAGACGGAGTCAATATCTGCACTGAAAAATATGCAACGTTTACGGGAAGGAAACTGCAAGAAACTGGTATGAACATCCCACAGATCCGGTTACAGACAAACAATTTTATGGGGCTTTTAAACAATTCATAGACAGAAGAACCAAAGCGAATCGGCCAGACATCGGGATCAAAGACTACAAAAAACAGAATGTGATTTCTTATTGAAATGTCAGTCCCTGAGGACTGTAATGTGCCTTTGAAGATCTTCAAAAAATCAGGTCCTTGAAGTGGAAATCTCAAAAGTTTGACACATGATGAAGACAGTCGTAGTAAGAAGATTCGGATTGATTGGAATCGGTTGAAATTGAAGGGATGCCTGGTAACACATGACTTAAAGAAATACAAGAAATTGTACCCACAAGTACAGCTCAAAATTTACTAAAGAGTTTACACACACGCACACGCAAATATATATATATATATATATATATAAACTTTCCCTGACGATCCGTTTAGGTGAAACCTAGGTAGGTTTGTCTGGCTCACTAGGTGTATCTAGGTCTGCTCTACGGTTGTATTAAGCTCTTTTGTTAGTTAGTTGTTACTCGTATCGGGGTTTTTTCTTTGGGCTTCAGACCTGCATCTGTGCGATTTTTTTGTCGGCAGAAGTTCATGATTGTAGCTCTTTCTTTTTTTAAAACCTTTTTTTCCCTCGAGATTGATTTGATTAGCAAATCATAAATTCGAGGTTTTTCGAAACGAGTCTAGTTATCTATATTTATATATATATATATATATATATATATATATATATATATATATTAAGACATTTTTACGTTTATACATTCTTTTTTATAGATAGAAATATTTAAAAAGAATAAACAGAAAATAATGTATAAAATAATTCTCGGACTTTGTCCATTTCATATATATATATATATATATATATATATATATATATATATATATATATATATATATATATATACGGGTAAATTTCCCAGAATCATTCTGAAGATAGGAATGGATAAAAAAAAGACGACAATTGGAAAAGATATTTGATAGTAATTTCCGACGCGTTTCGTCAATACGACTTTATCAAGGCAAGTTTAAGAGGGAAATGTTGTTTTGTTATATTAAATTCAAATATAAAGGGAACACTTCTGTGTAAGGCTCCTTCTTGATGTTGGTAACTTTTTTTTTAGTAATAATTTGTTTTACATTATTTTCCTCATCTTTGTCGCCATATTTATTACAACGTTTCAGTCTTTGTACGCTCTGGCCTTCTTCAGGTGATTGGAATGTCGAACTTAACCCTTTCTTTTGCTCACTGGGGTATACTGTTCTCGTTCCACGTGCCATGTTTAATAGATGTCAGTTATCATTTATCACCTGTTAATTTCCCTTTGAAAGTTCTCCACTGCCTCCACCGGGTATTAAACTCACACTCTTTGGGTCCTGTCACTGGATCTAACCAACGCCTTTATCCACTGTGCCGTGTGTCCTCAAAGACACGTTGTAATAACGTTGTAATAAATATGGCGACAAAGGTGAGGACAATACTCCTAATAATGTAAATAATGCATATATTACCTCATCTCAGAAATATAGACAGATACTGAAGAAGGTCGGAGCGTACAACGGCCGAAACTGAAGAAGGCCGGACAGTGGCCGAAAACGTTGTGATAAATATGGCGACAAAGATGAGGACAATAGTCTAAGTAATGTACTGAAAATCTTATTAGGCCAATTTCTTTTCTTTAGCCTGCCTCTCATCTTTTAAACTTCCCATCTTATCTTTCTCTTGAAATCGTTCATTCACTCGAACATAGTCGCCTTGAGTGCAAAGCACTGAAATATTCGATACAGTACACTAAACGGTGGATAAAGCATCTCTTTCTGTACGTTGAATTGCTACACTTATTTATTGAACAGCAAATGCAATCAATTTCGCTTTTAGCTATAGGAAGTTTTCAACCAGGCATTTTTCAGCCATGATAACAACAACTTTAATTTCCAACGCTTATAACATTCATTTCTTAATGAAATTATGCAATGATTTTAACATATTCACTAATTTTTAACTACAGTATTAATAGCAACAATTATAGCAATATGTGATTCGGTGTAGAGTAATGGGTAACGAGGTAATCCAGATAACCACTGCTACTTCGGGGTATGTTCGATTCTCACTGAGTACTTCATGCCTTGTTCATCATTTGTTTTGGCGATCTGCCTATAAACATTCTCAGATAATTAGTAAATTTTGATGCAGATGATAAGCGTTGTTTATAGATGCACTTCCAAAAAAGAAAGACGAGTAGAGATTGGCAGTTGATTCCTTAAATATAAACAACAACAACACTAATAATAATGTAAAAAAATAAAGTTTTTAAAAATAGTTGATTGATATAGAAAACTTTACTCAAAAGTACAGCTCCACCTTTACGAAAGAGTTTATATATATGCAAAATTGGCCTTTTTATATAAAAATGCTTCGTGTTATTATCATTATGTTGTTTCCGAGCTTATGTCTCTGGTTGAGACCTGGAACGAAATGACAACAGAAATCAAAAGAATTAACAACAACAAATAATAATAATAATAACAACAACAACAACAAAAAAAAAAAATAATAATAATAATAATAATAATAATATTAATAATAATGTAAACAATAAAGTTTTTCAAAATAGTTAACTGATATAGTTTTCAGCGCAATTCTAATTTTCTCACCGGAGATTGTACTCTATCTATGCTCTTTCTAAAAAAAACCAAAAAAAACAAAAAACTCTTCTGCGACTGCCAAGCTGTACTAAACGTTAGTATAGTCATTGTTGACCTTGACAGGGGTTAGTAAAATATGACATAGTAACATTCCGAAATTAAAGTTAATGGTTGAATAAGCTCATGGTGACAATAAAATATCAGTAGAAATTCCCTTATCACATTGTTAAAAATTTCAGCTTAACAACTTCAACAAGATATTGCAATATCAGTCATAATGACGACTGGTCGTTATTTTTAGAATTAAGCGGGTACAAATGAAAAGAAAACCTTTTTTCTTTCATTTTCACACTGAAACCAAATAGCTTCTCTAATGTATCTTTTCCGTTTCTCCATCCGACCAAAACGGAATAATTAATTATTTATAAAGTATTGACAGATGTTAAACATTTATATCTCGTTTCCTTCCTTCTTTCCTTCCTTCCTTCCTTTCTTCCTTCCTTCCTTCCTTCCTTCCTTCCTTCCTTCGTTCTTTCTTTCTTTCTTTCTTTCTTTCTTTTTCTCCCTGAAAGTAGCAACTCTCATTTCTTTTTCATCATTCTATGCGACCAAAACGGAACAGTTAATTATATATGAGGTACTGGTAGGGCGTAACGGTCGTGCGAACTAGGACATGGACAAGTAGAATTAAAAAGCAATAAATAACTTCGATATCTGAAGTGGATTTCATTTCTTAATACATCTCCAATACCATAATATCGGCGTTTCTTATTATTAATTCCGAACTTTCTTTTTTTCCTATTTGATTTATCTGTGCTTAATTTCCCCAGTCTCGAAAAAAAAAATTTTATATTCACTTCCAATAATCCCATTCCAGATCACGTATTCGTGCGTTAGTCAGCCATGTAACGTCGCGGGTAGTGAATGATCCACGATTGTGTTCGAATAAATTAACTTCAGGAACTCATTTTATTTCCATGGGTTACTTCACCTGTAACTTTCTGTCGTTCGACTATTTTTTCATGCTAAATCTTTCTTCTTTTTTTTCGACCGCAATAAAAAGAATGTATTTATTAATCTGGGCAATAAAGCTTTTGTTCGATTGCATTTGATTAAAGGATATCAGGAAACTTAACGGACCGATCGTGCATGGATTTCCGGTCCGGTCGATAGACAGAAAATTACAGATTTAACAGATATATATATATATATATATATATATATATATATATATATATATATATATATATATATATATATATATATATATATATATATATATATATATATATATATATATAATTATAACCACTGTCAGTTTGTTTGCTATCAAACTCCTCCTAGGCTTCTGGAGACAGACCCTCTATAACAATATTTGTTCTGAAACTACATTACCCAGGGTACTTGGATAAGTATATTTCATTTTGATCAAAAGGCGAACGCGAAATGGGGGGGTCGCACAAACAATAAATAAATGGAAATAAATTAAAATTTGAACAAGGGAATGAATCGTATCCATAATATAGAAAAATACAGCCTGATAATGGAGGACACATCGGCAAGATCATTTTGATCAAAGGGGGTCCCTGCCTACCCACTGAATTTTGTTTCCCTTTGCTTCAAATTAGATTTAAATTTTAACCCTAGAACACTAACCATGGGTATATAGTACCCACCGCAAATTTTACTATTTTAATTACAATTTTCAGTACCTGATTTTCTTACCTAAATAATATGTTTTCAGTTCCTATTAATGTTAACTCAAAGTACAAAGTTTGAAGTGCCTGCATGTAAAATATTTCAAATAAAGATTTATATTTAATATTTTTTTTTGATATTTTCAAAATCGGGTATGATATACCAATGGTTAGTAGTGGGATAACTTTAATTGATGGTTAGTGTTCTAGGGTTAACAAAGGAATGATTGCTATCCAAAATATAGAAGGAGAAAGCCAAAAGATGAAGGTCACATCGGCAGGCTCAAAATGTTCAAATCCAGGCCTCGTTTCTTGTATTCACTTTCGCACAGTTTTCTGGGAAAAGGCAGGATTACCTCTCTTGTTCTAAACAGCTATAGGTTAAATCGTAGAGCAGACGGAACAATCTAGCATTGCTTAGCAACCAGGCAAAGAGAAAACTAAGAAAACTCTGTATTTCAAATGGTAGAAAATGCAACGACTTGCCATCTGACCAATCCTTCCCAAGAAGGCATAGCGATTCACAATTAATAAAGAAAATGAATCAACGGAGAAACCGTGGTCACCAACGTTCTGAAAGAGATTTTGAGTTTACGTGACAGACAAGTTTGAATATATATATATATATATATATATATATATATATTGAGACCCTCCACCGTCCTCCAACCCTATCAATAGTGGTGGTAGAGGATGATCGTAACCAGTGTTAATTTTTTTAAGCATTTAATCAATTTTCGTAAAAAATATTTCTTTCCCAAGGGACCCTTACCGATTGATCAGACATGGCCGAATACGATAGGCGACAAACAACAATGGGGACAAGGAATATAAGTTTATTAAAAAACGTAAAAACATGGGGAAAAAACGGGCAAAACAAATATTTACAATGTGTCATGGATAAACATTTAAACATTTTTGACAAAATAGTGGGAGAGGAACATCCTCTAAGAAAGTTATACACAAATCA